AATTATTCGATGGATGGACTAGCAGCAATAAGCAACTCGATGAGTTTATAAAGAAGACTCAGTTACAAACAAACTCAGCGAATGACGCCTATCTGGAATGGATTCCGTTTGATTGTATTAAATTCTTTACCCGTGATAGTGAAGCCATTACTGAAGCCGAAGCTACAAGTGCTTACCTATACTTGGAAGGTCTACCCGTTTTTCGTGAAGTGAAGTTGATCCCGCTTCAAATAACGGATGAAACGGATGAGTCGTATTATAACAAGGTAACTATTCGAGTGTATTATGTAATGGAATTTTTAATAATATTGACTTGATATAACGCATCATTTCCACTAGTTATGCGCTGAGCAACCATATATTCTTACCAAAGATACATTTGGATTTACGTACAATGCGGATCTAGGGTATTGTCTAATAAAAGAAGAAGAAGGGAAGAGAATATGTCTAGCGTGTAAACATGATTTAGAACCTACGATAAATGTATTCTGTTACCATTGTAAAGCACCACGGCCTGTAGATTGGACTACGGGGAACAAGTCGTTGGATTCATTTATTACAGAGTCATGGCGTAATACAAACAATAAATATGATGCCTACATTCAATGGATTGAATATTCCCTATTGGCAGACATACAAGAGGTGACTTCATTACATCATGGATGCACACATAAAGCAGATTGGTTAGAACCGACGGCAAATGAACGGACACGAGTAACACTGAAAAATATAATCTGTGAACAGGATACTCAATTATCGGATTCTATTAATACCTGGAAAACTCAATTATCGAACTCAGTAAGTTATTTCATGTAAAAACAGCGTAATAATTTAAATCGTTTACTGTTATAACGAACTGTTTTGTTATCAAATAGCTAACTAAGGCATACCCAGAGATATTAACGCCAGATAATATTTGGATTATTGGTATTACTCAAGCACCATCTACTGAAGAGTATTATTTGGTGTTCTACTATGACGTAAATGCACTCTTGGACAGATTTATAAAGATTGATGAAAGTGTAAAGTATATGCAGTATAATGACTTTGAAGAACTCAAAGAGCTCGGATCTGGGGGTTGCGGAACGGCTTACACTGCTAGATATAAACGGCATTCAGAAGAGCACATGCCAGAAACTGTTGTACTCAAACGGTTTAAGAATTTTCGTGAAACGCCGGAATTATTTATTTCCGAAGTAAGCTATATTAACATTTGATGTTATTATTATTAATTAACGCGATATTCAATCTGACTCTGTATTATTTTTATCTAATATTTCAGGAATCATGTCAAGTGCGCGATTTCCGCTGACGATTTCCTTCGTATTTATGGAGTCACACAAGACCCAGTAACAAGTGAATACATAATGGTTATGCAATATGCTAACAATGGTAGTCTTTTGTCTCATTTGCGTCAAAATATTAACACATTGACGTGGAGGAAGAAATTACAATATTTGAAGGATGTTGCAATTTACCTGAGTACTATCCATGATGCAGGATTAGTGCATGGTGACCTTCATGGCGGAAACATAGTTTTGGGTGATAACGATAAATCATTCATATGCGACTTTGGTCTTTCTCGATCAGTGAATTCGCACAATTCAAATTCAACCGCTAAAGGCATTTTACCATTTATTGCACCGGAAGTCTTCAATAACAGCACATATACGCAGAAATCAGATATATATTCTTTTGGTATTATTATGTATTTAGTGGCCACCGGTGGACTACCTTTTAAAGATAGAGACTTCGATAGGAATTTATTATGTGATATTATGGGCGGACTACGACCAATGATGCCTGATTCGGCACCGGAGAAGTATAAACAAATTGCTGAAATGTGTTGGGATGCTGATACTGATAAGCGCCCGGATGCACACACACTTTGGAAGAAGTTTTACGAAATTATTGCATATGTGGACAAGTGGAATACCATCTTTAAACCATTATGGCTCGAAAAGGTTTACTCTAGTACTAGTACACTCTTACCTATGCCCAAACCGAGAAATAGTTATGATTTGAATTCAGCTGCAGGTATGACGAAAGTATTTGGTTACGTGTTGATAAAAGTCAATTTACAATATTAACCCAGTCCATTGTCTATAATTAGTGACTATAAAACTTGAATGAGTTCTTATTCAAAGATTTACCGATCGTTCTAAATATGCTCGACATGAAATGGGAAATAGAAATGGTGCAACTATATATCATATATCGATGGACAAACTAGACGTTACTTATTTTTATCAGAGAGTACATTATTTAAATATCGAGAACTAAAAATGTATTGTTCTTCACGTCAGTCGAAAATGTTCTCTTGAAGATAGGTAAACTTTTGCTGTTGTTCTGTTGAGTTATGCCTGAAATGAACGAGGGTTTAATGACTGTTTATCCAATGAGGGCCGAATGACGGCTGACATTCGTAAAACATGACGGTGATCAATTTTTAACTATCGCGAGGAACTTTTATTTGATCAATTTTTAACAAAGTCAAATCTCTTACCTACAAGTTGATTGCGTATTCGCTCAATTCATCGATAAAACGTTTTATATCACCTGAAGAAAATGATTTCCGACCCTAATTCCCAGGAGGATATTAATTATTTTTTGGATGTGAATAATAAAAACTGTTGCTATTTAAGAGATTAGAAACGCAGCGAAGGAAAATCTTAATTCAGCTTAAACTCAGAAACGCACTCGGAAAATAGCGAATAGTTACTATATATCGACAAAACTATTTGAATAGATTTGTAATTTACAGTCTATATGAATAATTTGATCACAGTTGATGTAGAAAGTAAACTTTTATCATAGCAGGCTAGTTTGGGATTTTCACAAAGAAACCAGGAACGATCAACGTCCCATAGTATTATATTATCCTAATAAATGTCCCCAATCAGTCATAGAGTTCCGGAACTAGATCATGTCCAAATTGCTTCTACCATACATACTGTTGCAGACGGTTCAGTCGACAGGTGACTTTAATCTCAGCGACAGTTTAATGAATACTGAACGCTTGAGCTATAGTGACGTTTTCTTTAATTTATGCGCGCTTCCGAGTTTCTATAAGTAACGCTTTTCGGCAAGTAAGTGAGTCCACGGAATAATATTAATAACACTTACTCTTCTACGGAGTCGAGGGAAAATTGTAAATTTTAACTATAACAAGACAATGCTCCGACTCGATTTTGACTAGTCAAAATGGGCCGTAATAATAATAAAATTAGATCATAACAACACATTGCATTCATAACTAAATACAGTAACGAAAATAATTGCCCTTTTGTAAATAAATACGTTGTTTAGTGTAAACGCGTTTTTGTTTTTAACTGGTTACCATTTCGGTGAACGAGTTTTAAAGATATAACTTTCAAAACAACCATTTGGTACTCTTCATTCATGGGCGATTAGAGGCACAGCGGCAAACAATTCTCAATTATTGGCAGCAGTGATTAGTTAGATTTTTTTCACTTTCAATTCTGGAATGGACATCAAGTTTAAGTAATGAAAGCGGGACAAAAGGAACACAAGATCGAACGTTTTTGCCAACTGTTGACCACTTATTTTCGTCCACCTGTTAATAATACATAACTTATTGAAATATCAGAGGCTTATTATCATTAAACTACAGATCGAAACTCTGTTGTCTCAACACATCAACTTGAATTAAAAGTGTAACAATTTCAATTTTGCATGTTGCTATTTTGCGGCATATGAAAAAAACGATTACAGAGCCCTGTACGGCGATGCTCATTGGAGAAATATGGAAGAGGCACACTTACGAGATAATTGTAGGTGAACAATATTTACTGATAAGACAGCATTTGACCTTTTCCAAAATAAGATGTCGGTGGCATAAAAACATATACTAATACGGTGATTGCAAAAATCGCGCGGGTTATTATTGTTGCTCGAAAGGGAAAAACACCATTGTTCTGCTGAACTAATACTAATATCCCTTTTTTACGTGCAATCTCTGATGAGACAGTGAATAATTGGTGCTATTTATGGAAAATGAGCGTGAGCTTGTTTTGGAGGGTTGATCCTGAAAAGTTTATGAGTAATAAGAAATTTAGAATTGTTTAATTATTTATGTGTGCGTTACGCATTTTTTCTGAAGGCAATTATCTTGTCGCATGCTGTATGCGGAGCAAAGTGGTCAACTGTTTGAAATAAAAATAATTCCCGCAAATAATAAATATAACAATACATAGCAGATGCGATTCTTCTTTATTGGAAATTACAGGACCGACTTAATTAGAATCTGACTAATAACATAAAGAGCGTGAAGTAATAGACTTGAAAAAAAAGCGATACTGTTAAGTTGCTTTCGCCTACATAATATTCGATGTCAAATATTCTACTGTAATAATCGCGTTGGTTCCTCTGCTACCTTGGCACTCTCTCAAGTGCTGCCATATACTCCCGGTATTTCCGCAGGCTTATCATAAACGCAAGTTTGTAAAAAAATAAATGCTTTTATCAATATATCTATGTAGATAATTCTGGCGTCTCATTCACGAATCACATTGTGGGCACCACACTCTATAAGACGGCCAGCCCCAGAACCGAAACAAAAATATGTGACTATAAATACATATTAAATCTCCTAAAGTTTCAGTTTCAAATGTTTGTTTCCATATTGATTGTATGTACTTGCTGTGACACATTCCTTCATTTAATTGAAAGACAGAGTCAAGCTAAGCTACAATTCACAACGCTTACAAAAACCTTTTCCGTAATCATTCATAAAAAGTTTATATTACACGGAAGGCTAGGGTATAATATGCAGTTTAAACTAATGCCATTGCAGCATTGTAATGGAAAATGGAACAATTTATGGTGGAGGAATGGGATAGTAGCCCGTAATAAATTTGATTGGGTCAATGAATTCCTTATTAATAAAATCTTCTGGTTCTTAGCTTTCAACAAATATTTAGACTTTTGTAAATGTGAATATAATGTTTATTCGTGGTTTATAAATATTATTCTAATAATTATTGAAATATTGTCTCCTCATGTTTACGCTTCTGAGTATATGTGCCTGGTTTAGCCATTGCTGCAGGATGTGATGCCAACTCGGGAGGAACACGCGATATTGGCGATTTCATAATCATTTGTTTGAGGTCATACCTAACAAGCGAAATTTTGCAATGAGATAAAGATTTTCATATGGAAACGAAAAATAATAGAGGATATTGTTACTACATACATCACGTCAGCGTCAGAATTGGAAAGGAATGTTATTGCTATCCCGGATTTACCCGCACGACCAGTACGGCCGATACGGTGAGTGTAGTCTACAGAAAGACGAGAAAAACGCGTTAATTATGGTCAATCAACATGGCGAATGTAATTGTTTGATATTATACCTTCAATATTCTTTGCCATATCATAATTTATGACTAACGAAACATCCTTCACATCAATACCGCGTCCAGCAACATCCGTAGCCACTAAACAAATGAAAGGCATATTGAGTCGGCATAACTATACCTGACATGATGATCTGAGAGGAGACTGTGAACATTCGCATTGAAACGAAGTTATTTACTTACCTAAAATGTCCATCGTTCCATTCTTCAAATGAGCCAGAGCAGCCTCTCTATATTATAGCAGCAAGACATTTAGTAAATTAAGCGAGCGCAGATAATTATATAAGAGAAAACACGCAAATGACCTTTGTTCTTGCGTTTTGCCACCGTGAAGAGTAGTGGCTCGATGCTAATAACAAGTTGATGTGTAATAATTAATACAAGTGTAAATTAAATCGAAATGCAATATAGCCGAGTTATACTTTACCCCAAGTTTATTGAGCGCCTTTGCAAGTACATCGCATCCTTTCTTCTGATTAACGAAAATAATTATTGGTGGATCAAATGCTCCAGACAAAATTTCAAGAAGGCGTCCCCTGATACAATTACGACGAGTATTAATTAAATAATAACGTGCCAAGCATAGCAACAAACATAAGACTCATAAACTCACTTCTTTCTGCCTTCATCATTAATCATCTCCACTTTCTGTTCGACAGTATCTACAGCCTGACCAGCAGTACCGATTGTAACAACTGCAGGTCGTCTCAGATATCTACAAAATATAAACATCACAATTTATACATGGACAAGTTTACCATAACATAGTAACACGCAAGCGTACATACCTCTTAGCCAATCGCTCAACGGCAGGTGGCATAGTAGCTGAAAACATAACAGTCTGCCGATATCTCTCTTTCTGTCCCAATTTTCTCAACATCTCACTCGGATTCTCAGCATCTTCTGTGTCTGGCTTAACATTTGACACAGGCAATGCATCCAATATTGTATTGACATCTGTTTCAAAGCCCATATCTATCATTCGATCAGCCTAATAGACAGTATGAATATGAGCAATATGAGAAGACGGAAACATAGCCCATGCTTTCTTTCGCTAATTGTATACCCCCGTTACTATACTCACTTCATCCATGACAACATACGTGCATTGATTGAGCACTAATATTCTTCGATCTAAACAATCTTTTAATCTTCCTGGAGTAGCAATAATAATCTCTGCTCCGTTCCTTAAATTGAAAGCCTGCTCCTCTACTGCATGCCCACCAACAATCGACACACAATTAAATCCCATGGGAGCTGCAAATTTGAGAGTTTCTTGTTCAATTTGTTGGGCCAACTCGCGTGTTGGAGCAAGGATCAAAGCATAAGGACCATCGGCCATGTTTTCCTCCGACAAGCGAGGTAAATCGGAAATGTAAACTAGCATTGGGATAACAAATGAGGCGGTTTTACCGCTACCTATTTTGTCAAGTAAATTCGGAAAGGATAAGTTTGATATTATATTAAAAGTATGGAATAAATGTTATCGTAATGCTCGCATATGTAGTCTCGATACATCACCTGTTTCTGCAATTCCAATAATATCTCTATTCTGCAATCCGATAGGAATAGCCTGTCTCTGAATAGGCGTTGGAGATGTATATCCGATGGAATTAATGAGCTTAATAATCCGCTCTGAAAGGTTGGATTCTTCCCAAGATCTGATTGGATTTGGAATACTACCACCTATGAAATGTTCAATAAATTATGACACTCGACCTGTATAAAAACGTTTGCAATGACGATAAGGTAGCCAAACTATTCACAAACCTTTCGTCGTAATATTAAAGTCTTCCTTGAATATACGCCAATCACGTTCTTTCATTTCTGACAACGGTTTTTCTGACCAGTGTCTATCATCCCACATATTCTTCAACTCTTTCCGCCTATCTATTTCCATTCTCTCTCTACAAATCAAAGAAATATTAAATAAGAAAACTGCTCATACAACAAGACGTTTCATATAAATTCTCATTCATATTCACGTTCACGTTTCAACTACACCAACTCTAACCAATTCTCTTCTCAGTGTCCAAGACAAAAAAAAACATACTCAGCCCGGTCCTTTTGATCCACTGTCCTCCTCTCCTCCAGCAGCTGGGAATAAAAGGCTGCTCTCTCTTTCTTCTGCTCCTTAATATCTATCCCTGCAAAATGTCCCCTTCCAAACATTTGCGCGCTGTGCCTACTTGCGTACAGCGGGTTAAAGTCTTGCGACGTATCTTCTCCTGCGTCCCAGTCGAAGACAAATTTTTTCTCGTTCATTTTACGTATTTTACGTTTCTTGCGTTCACCACCCATATAACGCTCCTTTTCGATGCGAATATCCAGGGTACATAATGACATTAGTTAATTTGCATTTAGCTATTATCCTCACCAATATCATGATGCAAATATGAGCTTACCCTTATCGCCTGTAATTCTTTCTCCTCCAGTCGCTCATTCATTAATTGTTCTTCTTCTTTCTTTTCGGGTGGTGGCCGTTTGTCAGGAACATCTCTCAGCTTGCTACGGTCTCTATCATATCTATCGTGCCTATCGCGATCGTATCTATCATAATAATCTCTTCTATCCCGGCTTGTACCTAAAGAGTAGTTGGTCAATCTTAAAGTGTTAGAACAGTTGTAGATATACACGAGTCGCAATAAATCTCGCATCTCAAGTTTCCAGACCTCAAAACTCAGATGAATATATCCTAAATCGTACGCCACATTATATATTTCGCATCCACTTTTACTGACCATTCTGCCGTGCCTCTTCCATAGCCCGACGCTGAAATTCCTCTTGCTGTTTACGCTCTTCTTCTTGCTTACGACGCTGTTCTTCAATTTCTTTTTGTCTTTTTTCTAATGCTAGCTTTTGTCTTTCTTCCTTTGTCAAGAATTTTGGCTAAAAAAAGAATATCAATATAACATCTTTAACCTCGACGATTACTAGAGTAAAATTAATAAGTAAATTGTTCATACTCGATCGAGTTCCTTTTTCTCTGTTTCTTTCTTCTGTAGTATCTCCTCCAACGAAACCGGAACTCTTCTCTTAGGTGGCTCTTCCTTTGATTGTTGCTCTTGTTCCTGGTCTTGTTGATTCTGGTCTCGTTTATCAGGCTTCTCGCCACCATTACTTTTATTGGCTCCGTTCTCTCCACTCTTTAAATGCTCTTCTCTCTCTTCCTCCTTTTCGTCACGTTCCATAGACTCCGAAGTTCTCCGCGCTGAGTCATAATCACCGCTTCGTCGTCTTTCCCTGTCATAGTCTCTGTCATATCTTCGTCGACGATATCCGTCTTCTCTACGACGATCAGACGAGGTGGGTGATCGTGATCGTGATCGATGGGGTGATTGCGAGCGGGAACGGTGTCTTCTTGAACTAGAGCTAGTCGAAGCGTACGATCTAGAAGAAGAAAGAACAATGAAAACAAGGTTTGAAGTTGGAGACGAAAAATTTAGGCACACTTGGTATACCTTCGCGAACGATCTGTTGGCATTTGATAAAAAATTACTGTAGTAAGGTTCAAATACTATCTAGTTAGTTTAATAAATATAATCACGTGCAAATATCAAGTGGTATGAAAAGCGCGAAATCGAGTCATGTGCACGCGCGACATGTTTTAAAATGGAGGGCCAATTTAACTGTGATCAATGATTTTACAGGCAGTCGCTACGTCGAAAGTAAGTGGCAAACGCGATGGGAGATATTTTCGGCGAGAGCAATACGAGGAAACCCACAAAGAAGATACAGCACGTCAGATAATATTGCGGACACGAGACAAAGACATTTGTTTAAATAAAGAGAGAGAGTATTCGGCATAATCCAGAAACATAGTGAATTCTATGCAAATACGACAGTAATGTATCAAGAAATGTGTAAAACGTGCAATTTCGTGGGAGAGCACTGGATTCAATTAATTCTCAGCTAACACGGTCTTATGGAACACTCAAGATGCTAACTATTATTTAATAATTTGAACGTTGTTGGTACTTATTATTATGCTAGTCTTTTCACATTGAATATAATTAAAGTGCATGATACCACTTATGTAATAACCACGAGTATGTGAATATCCTTCGTGTTACGATTCGACACAGTTAGCCATACTTTTAAGTTTATTAATAATATTAATTAACGTTTATAATTAAAGTCAATTGATCAAAACACTTACCTATTATGTACGTATTTTTTTAACGTTTTTAAGCTTTGCAACTTCTACTTGATTGGACATCTAATACAGCTTAAAGATAGCTGTTTAAAAGTCAAATTAGTTTCTTTTGATAAAGTTTGTCAGTTTTTCAATATATCGAAAAAGTCTCTTTTTTGTCATATAAACAACATTGTTGTCGACAATACAGTTTAATAGCAACTTATATATTGAACTACTGTTACAATAAGTTGTAGTATATCAGAGCCAGCAATGAATAAAACCAGTAATTACTGGTTGTTAAATACTTTCTGCGCTGTTGAATATAATATTACACATTGAATTTATCCAAAAACAGATAAAATTGAAAGAGATCGGGCATTGCATACACCTAAAATTATGCATTCAGGCACGTGTAAAAGGTGTGAATTTAGGGCATGTCTAAAGCGGAGCAGATTCCTCGCAATTCCATTGGTCAAATTTGTATGGCAGCCAATAAAACTGCAAATACAGGATCACGTTCTGCTCCGCTTTAGCCTTTCCCTGAATTTAGCAGGTGATGTCAAGAAAGCTATATCGTTCGATGGACCGCACATAACTACGAATAAAAAATGCCTCAAAACCGTACCGAAATATAGATATTTAAAAATGTGAATAGACCACAAAAACTCGTATGACGAATGCAAACGAAATATATCACTTCATGGATCAACAAATCAGATTAATTGTAAAAACAAGTCTGATGAAAAATACTAACGGTGAATCGAGACGGCCAACAAATACAACCGTATGTCTAGGCAATAGCTGTATTTATTCATCAGTTGCCGTATATTGAAATTCACAACTTGCGCGCGCGTGTACTGTATGTCTAATAAGGAACACAAATTATCCGATTAAAAAATCTATTTATTCAACCAATCACTTAATCGTGTCAAGTTAATTCCGGTCATACTAAACTCCGATTTTGGAAAACAAACATTTGAAATTAAAATTGCTCTCGCGTGACCATATGTTTTAGATTGTTATTCCTGAGCTTGTGTTTAATAGCTGTAACAGAGACATTTTAAGATTTCATTTGCTCGTCTGTCAAGTCGGGCATAAGCAAGATTCAAAGATAACGTTTGGATTAGCTAATGCGCGTTATTGTTCTGCAGAACGATTTTATTGCGCGCGTTAATCGTGATCATCGAAATATGATGCATGCTTTGATTCTTGCCAATATGACCTTGTCATAGGCGAATTATTTCGCAAACAGGTTTGGTAAACGCAGATGCATGCATGCTAATAAAGCTATAGTTTTAATGTTTTGTGGGTTTTTTTTGCCTCCCCGTATTTTTATTGTAAAAAAAATTGGTCTGACTATTCATAATCTATTCATATACCCGATAAAATAAGGGAAAGAAAAAAGTTACCAGGATACGTTAAGGAATGAAATCGCGTGAAAAAGACTGATGTCTATATATGTGTGTTGTGTATTTTGGGTATTTGTTCATTATACAAAATCAAGCCTGATGAATTAAATATATGGTATATCTAAAAGGTGTATCCAAAAGGAAAGTATCAATCAAAAAACGAATGCAATAATAAAAGAGAGTGAGGAGGATGAAAGTGGTTTTGCCACTAATAATAGTAAAGAAATATAGGATATATGAATGACTAAAATCAGCTATGTATAGAACGTGAAAAGAAAAAGATTTTATCTACAAATATAAAGGATGAAGAAAAAGTTTCCTGAACCTTATAGTCTAATACTACAATCCATTGTCTGCACCCCACCCAAACCCAAATGCCATTAATCCCTGTCCCCCCCCCCCCTCCAAGAAATTTTTTTTTCAATTCACTTCCTTTACGCAAAGAAATGAGTATTCTGCCTACTATCCTCGTGCACTTCCATTTCGGCCATCTTGTATTCATTCAGTTCTCGCTTAATCTTCTGCGCCAACTCTGGAGTCAACTTGTTACAGGTTGTTTGATCTCCTCTTCTATCATAATCCTCCCGAGTCCAAGTCTCATGTACGAAAATGGTTGATGAAAACTGCAACTTTTTCAGAGTCGGGGTCCCAGAAGATCGATTGACTTCTGTATCCCGTACAGCACCAAATGAAGGGACGGATCTTGAAGCCTGAGAGAACCGGTTCGAGTACGGCATTTTGTTATTATTGGAGAAGCTATCGTTTCTTGCCATAGATGGAAGGAAAGAAGATAACCGTCTTCCAAAGGCATTGGATGTCGGCTGCTGTTGTTGCTGGAACGGCAGATTCGAGAACGGCCTTAGTGGCACATCGCTAAGTTCATCTTCATCCGAAACCGAATCTGAAGAGGAAGCCGTAGATCCAAACTCTGTCCCAGATGATTGGACTGTAGGTGAGGCTGTGCGATACGCATTATATTGCTGCTGTTGCTGCTGCATCTGCTGCATCCGTTGCTGTTGCATCTGTTGCTGTGCAAGCAGTAGCTGCTGTTGTTGCAACCGTTGTTGTAACTGCTGTTGTTGCAGTCGCTGTTGCTGCTGTTGAACTTGCAACGGTGTGGAACTAATTGGGGACTGGGATTGGATTGATTTTTGGTAATTATATTCAACTCCTGATGGCATCGATGATGATCTTGGTGGAATTTGTCCTGATAGGCAAATGAGCGCGTTATTAGATAGTATAATTCTCAAACAATATAAACAATCTCCATACTTGGCACATTCTCGTCTCATCTTTCTAACCCTAAACTTACCCTGACGGAATGTCTTCATATCCTCGTAAACGTGACAGCCAGGTTTCTCGTCCTTCTCCTTATTCTTCTCATCCGTGAACAACTTCTTCTTTGCATCCTTCTTCTTTTGTTTTTGTTCGCCATTTGGCTTTTGGTTGTTATTATTATCACCATCCTTGCTTTTTTTATCTTTGGTGAAAATCGATGGAAAATCGATAAACGATTTTCGACGCGACGAATCAGTTTTGATATTTCGGGCGACGGGATTTTCATATGCCTGAGCAAATGGTGAAGTAGTGTTTGGTACTTGTGTAGGATTGAAAGCGAGGGGGGTTATGGGAGCCGCGGGGGCCGTAACGACAACAGAGGAAAATGAGGGTTTCTTGTGGAAAATTTCAGTCTGCGGACGAGCCTTCTTACTGCGAAGAGAAGAGAATTTCAAATTCGATTGTGGTGATGAAGACGACGAATCATTAGATAGTGGTGTTGAGAAATTATCAGAATGCGAATTCTCATCTTTCTTGAGATTTGTCAGACTAAAGACTCGACGCAGCTTATGGGTAAACGATTGGTCTTTGTCTTTATATATTTGTTTTCGTAAATCAGTGCTAGATCCCATGACTGCTGATTGACGGAAACGCTGTGTCTTTTGTTTCGGGTCTTGAGAAGAGATAGGTTGGATGGGATTAATGGAAGGAGTCACAGCAGTCGAGTCGCTAGTAGTATTATTATTGCCATTATTATGATTATTAGGATTACTATTATTATTGTTATGAATAGAGTCGTCGGAGAAGGGCTGAGCGGCAGTTTCAACTTCCGAGCCACCGCTCTCAACAGACGAGGATTCTGGAACGCACTGAGAATCATTCTCTTCCACCTCGTCAAACAAGTCTTGTTTAGTCTGTACAAGTTCTATCTCATTTGTAACTTTTGTATCCATCTGCGCCTGCACAGGTTGTTGTATTGTCGTTGGAGGCGTGTCCTTCTTTTGGTGTACCAATGCTGGCACTGGTACTGGAGGTATCTCTAATACAAAACGGGGCACGTTAATACTTTCATTGAAGCTAGACGCTCTACGCCGAAGTTTATTAGTGTAAGAGTTATTCTGTTGTTGTTGTTGCTGTTGTTGTTGTTGTTGCTGTTGTGTAAAAGAGTATTGTTGGAAGTTTGTTGGCAAGTCGCCATAATGTACGCTGTGACGATTACTAGGACGTCTGTTCTGCTGCATGTTCACACCTGCTTGCTGAACGACTGCGTCATAGATGGGTCGGTGTTGAATGCTTTGTTGAGGAAGAAAGTTGACCAGCGAGATGTTCTCGTTATCGTATTCTATAGTAGATATATTTTTGTCTGATTGATAGTTTGCTATACTGACAGCCATTTCTTCTTTATTTTTGTTCGCTATGAGATAGGTGTTGGGAGGAGGAATGAATCTATTATATTGAAATGTAATGAGGAAACAGAGAGAAGACAGAAAAGATAAAAAAGGATTAATGAGACAGGGTGGGGGCAATTTGGGCAGGTAAATTGTAACAATGCACGGAGATGAGTTTTAAGTATTTACTATAATATGAAGTATCAACAAGGCTAATCTAATTGAGGCACAGTGAATGTTGCACATTAAAGGGACTTTTTAAAGAATGGTGTAGTTAAAAGGAAAATCATCCAAGATTCGTCGGCGAGTCAGGGCCATCACTTATTCACTCAACTATTCAGTCAATTGCTCATATTTACTAATATTTATTTGTTTTCAGGGCATCATTTAGAAAAGTGGCATGGGAAGTGTTTGACGATTCCCGATGAACATGTGTTCTGATATTCAGCCTTTGTTACCTCTGAATCGCAATCGAGGATCCAACTAAATAATGAAAGACGTTGTTGAGATTGTTTCGGATTGGGATAAAGAAATAAGAAGCAAAACGTTGTGACGGGAGTGTTAGTACCAAGATGAAGATGACAATAATGGTAATAACAATAAAGTGACGAACAATAACACCAGCAGTAACTTTAAAAGCTATTAGCTATTGTTATTATAAACTTACCAATAACGTAATTTAGCTCTAAATTAAGATTTGATCACCTAATTTAATATGTACGTATCGAGTTGTATGTAACTTACCAATCCTCTACGACATTCGAATAGACTCTTACGGATACTATGACACTCGAGCGGTACGTCGTTGGCATGCTCTGCCTTTAGACACTCTACAGAACAGCATCATAACGAACAAACCAATACTATGAATACACATACTACGTTACATCCTACATACATATATACACATATACATGTCTATATAATTCTATATTACATGTATAAGCAGATTTGCTTTCTTTGTTTCCGACCTCCCTCTCACCTTTGACTGTGTTACGCTGTTCAAGAACACACTTTGACTTAAGTAGGCAGTCGATAAGCTCCTGTCTTATATCTTTGCACGATGACGGCATTCTCGAGACATTTAGTTAAGACAGTCTCTCATTCAGCCCATTATTATTAATACAGCCCAGCTTTGCATGCATGTCCTCGTGATCATATAACTTCCAATCAAAATTGATTAGTATTAAGTGTAACCCACAAGGGGAAATCCGTTGAACTAATCAGAATCATTTATTTATAGGACACCGCGGTTTCTTCAGGTATTTTTACTTGTGCAGCAGCATACCGCTATTATTATCTCGAATTGCATTACGCCAAAAATACGCATGCTAACATTGTATACCACATTGAGAAATGGTAGCAGAAAGTAAGTGGCCGTTAGCGAAATTTACTTAAATATACTGCTTTTTAACGCAATAATACCGTGATTTCTTTATTTAGTCACTTTCTCATTAGGATTCATCTACCCCCATGTTATTTGCATTAAATAATCAGCTCTGAAACATAATCGATGGATATTAGTACCTAACAATAATGCATCATTCCGTTTCGGTGTTCATTACCGTTATGCGAAAAGGCTTGCCTTTTTTATAGCTACCCATTACGCGTTGTGTAAAAGACAAAAACGAAAGCTTGAAATGTTGTGGGTTTATCACTTGTTCTATTTTATCTGAAAATTATAATACTTGAGGACGGTAAGCATTTAATCGGTAATTGGAAGAGATCAATTATCAAACCATCCGCTTAGTTTAATGCAATGATTGCAAATTATACAATTCTGGCCAAACAGAAATATTAATAGCGTACAGTCAAACCTTTTTACACCGATATGACTGGTTTGGTCAGCAAAAAAATATCAGTTTATAAAGTTGTTTTAAGTATAGGTATTATTCTTGGAATGTCGGCATAAAAAAATATCAGTATACAAAATGACTTTAATTAAGAACGGTTTTGAGAAAGATATCGGTTGAGGGACTTTAATTAGATGTCGGCATAGAAAATATCGGTATTAAAAGGTTTGACCGTACTTGATTCAACAACCACTAGCAATAGTGAGATGCTAGTTCTAAACGTCTTGCTTATATGCTAGTCTTAATTGAGGCGTAGCTAAATAAATAAATAAACACACTGCCGGATATGAACTATTCTTTCTGATACTCCAGCGTCCGCTTAATCACGGCTAGATATTATTCTAGCTTCCGTAATAGACAGTTCTGTACAGCAACAACGACACACAGGAATAGAACTATTGGGACAACAACTAACAATAACCCTCAATCGAGGAGTGTATTGGTTACAAGAGGGCGATAATAACTAATGAATTCCTTATTATATACTCGCTTCTTGCGAGTAAGTCCAATCAAATAGTAGACGATTAATTTTAATTAATTTCACTGTAGTATTCTATTTGCAATTCAAATGTCCAGTACACTAATATTTCCTGGCTAGCTTTAACATAATCGTCTTTATTCATTAACGTAGACGTACAGTATTTGTCAATGTAAATTATCATTGTAAAAGACGGATCGTTATTTTCTTCGCAAATCAATACAGAATAGAATAAAGAAAACTTAATAACGGTGATGTTCACTAATGTCTACGACAAACAATTCAATATAAAGTCTCATAGTAATAGACGCTGTTTATAATGTTGATTTACCGCAGACGTTGCCCCATGTCGTCATTACCAGTTCGCCAACCCCTGAAGAATTTCTATCACGTGAGGTTGCAAACTTTAAGCTCTGGTTCGGATTACCGTTACCTTGCTTGCAAGCGACGCACAGAAAAAGAAGAACATCTGCCAAGATGATGGTTAGCTTTCTACTCTCTAAATTTTTTTTTGCTAACAAGACAGTTCTGTATTGACAACTCTGAAATAGCTTACATGATTAAATTAAACAAGCGATCCTCTGCAACCCAACCCAATCCAACCCAACCCTTACAACCAGTTTCCCTTTCTTCAAATCTCAATAGGGAAAAAAAGTTTAAAGATCTATCTCACCGTTCTTTTTCTTCATGCTTTGCATATTCCTAGGAAATGTTGTTTGGACGGCGAAAACCTCCCCAAGAGATGCTTCGCCAACATCAGCGAGCACTCCAAAAAGCTCAACGTGAACTCGATAGGGAACGAGTCAAACTTGAAACTCAAGAGAAAAAGTTAATACTCGACATTAAGAAAGCTGCCAAGGCGAATCAAATGGTTGGTCTAATATTGAAACGGGGGATTCGTTTGATGAATGTTTTTAAGTGTTTTGTGAATGGAAAAAAAAAAGATTTGGAAATAGTGCGACGATTATGTAGGTTCAGAGTGAGTTGATTAGAATGTTAATTTGACTTGGTTGTTTATTTGTGTTTGGTCGGTTAGAGTGCATGTAAGATTATGGCAAAAGACTTGGTGAGGACACGGAGGCACGCATCTAAATTTCAGGCCATGAAAACCCAGTTGCAAGGCGTAGGATTGAGAATTCAGGTGAGGCATGGACATCATTTTAAAATAGCAACGGCGTGAGGAATTTTATCCCACTCTTCTACCATAACTCGCTAATATCTTTAGGCATTCTTTTTTCCACATTGTTTTTAACACTTTTGTTGAATAATTGTTTGATTGTTCAATTACCAATTTGCTTTTCTATCGTTTCTAGACGCTTCGATCCAATCAGCAAATGTCCGAAGCAATGAAGGGCGCAACTAAGGTATTAATCGTTCATGCCCGATGGGTATACTTTTTACTTTGGTTTTACGTTCATTCTTTTCACGTCAATTACGGTTACCATTTATGATAGGCCATGAAGTCAATGAACCGTCAAATGAATCTTCCACAAATCCAAAGGATTATGATGGATTTTGAAAAAGAATCGGAGATTATGGACATGAAGGAGGACATGATGAACGACGTTATTGATGATGTTATGGATGAGGAAGAAGACGAAGAGGAGAGTGACGAAATTGTTAATCAGGTGTTGGATGAGATTGGCATTTCCTTGAATCAGGCGGTGAGTGATGAGAATAATTAACTATGCACAGAGTGGAACTAACGCAAATGTAAAAGAGTTTTGTTATAAATGAATTTGCTCATTGTGGTGTTTACTTTTCTTTATTGCAGCTGGTCGATGCCCCAACTTCAATTGAAAAAATCGGTGCATCGGAGAGAGTTACCGAGACCGAAATTGAAGCAAATAATGATATGGCACTACAAGCAAGACTTGATAAGCTGCGTCGAGAATAGTAAGATGAGAGATAGAGATGGCGTTGATGGTTTAAATTATTACTTAATTTTAAAAGTTTTTTGAGTTAATTTCTTTTCCCCCCATTAGACTCCATTTATTTCTTGATGAATTTTATTTAGTTCTAGAAAGCCTCAATGGCGAACTTTGTCTTCCGGAAAGTATATGTAGTTAAGGTAAACTGCTTGTTCAGTTGAAATCCAAGTTTCAAAACATTGAAGAAAAATTAATTAAAAATTCTGAACGAATAGAAGTTAACAATGGAAATGTAATATTAAGAGACGAGTTTTCGTAGTACAGTCGGAGCAGCCGATGGGGTTTGAGGTGTTTTGCTCCAACTATTTTATTTCTTGCTCAGTTGTCATTACTATTTTTCGGATTCCTGCTTTATAACGATAAAGAATCTTTTTCAATAAGCAGTTGCGACATTTTCAATTTTTTGGCTTATGTTATCGTAACAGGCGCATGACACACGCAGGCACATATAATATATAAATATTAGCCAGATATTTTCTCTGACGCGCACACATATCTTAGAATACTATCTCGCCTTCCTCACCAACATGATAAACGTAGGTTACATGACGAGCAGCCCCATGTGGGTCTCAGAAATCATGACGAAGAGCAACGCGGCATGCACGCCGCAGAAAAGCTAGACTCCTCCGCTTGTCATCAAAGTATCAAATAAATCACATTATCCGAGCTTGTCAACTTACGCTCGTCGAAAATACGTGATTGAATTAAACAAGTTTGGAGAAATTTTTTGCTCAAAATTATCACGGTACCGTATTCGTATCGTATTAGTGACTCTCATGTTTACTTTTGAGTAAAGAGGGGAAGGCGTTATATTGTAGTATATAAATAGTTATCAAGTCATTCATACATAAAACAAGACACCAGGGAAATAGTTGCAATATATGATTATCCTTATAGAAATGTCATTTGTATGTGTGTAATTTCTTCAATTCACACCATGTAAAATACAATTAACTGAAAGTGTTGTCTTTACGTTTTTACGCTGCTTGTTAACCTTTTTGTAATGAATTCAAGCATAATAGTCAAGCTCCCAAGCATTAAAAGACTAATTTGCTAATATTTATACTTTGACTATTTGTTAAAGAAAATGTATAGCCAAATAGTTTGATGGTAGTTTATTTCAGAAATCTAACTAGTCAATAAAGATTGACACAATTTCCTGACAATAATGCAAACTTTCCCATTTTTGCTAAAACAGAGATTCGAACCTGATGATGATAATTTTGTCATTTCGGTTGCCAATTAAAGGTCTATGGTTTCCGGAAAAAAAATATGTGCTGGTAATCGTTTATAATATTATATAGTTTATTGTACTCGTATATTTATCAATTTAGTATTATCATTACTATTGTTCTACTAGGCATATGACGAAAAGTACGTTCAAGAATTGCACGTAATAATAAACGTATAACCTTTTCCGTAATGGATTGTGGTCTCAAAACAATTCTCGCGCGTTCTATTGAGTACTAAATCTTTCTTTAAATAATAATTTCTTCCTGAACATAAAGAAACGCAAAACTCCTTGCTCATTACCATGTTGGAGGGTACTATTACTATGTATCTCAATATTACGCCAGATGTGATTGCTTAACTACGTTTGCTCTATTTCATATCTAAAAACCCTTAGACTTTTAATTGGTACCGAAATGAGCAAAATTATCATCAACACACTGAACGTGTTCGCTTCTTTTTTCCAAGACGTGATTTTAGCGCGAATGAAGTGTAACGATTTTTGCAGATCTGAACGTATTTTATATTAAGGCAAACAATTATTCTCTTTTCTTATTCTGTTGATTTTAAGCTTGGGATTTTAATGCTAGAATGGCAACGTGAAAGCGAATCGATCGTGACTGTTTGGAAACCGACTTGAAAACGTAAACTTCCCGTAATCGACTTGCGGCCATAGCTGCATGAACATTTTGTCTCATATATCACAACCCCCATTTAAACATTGTAATGAACTTAACAATAAACAAGTAAATTTTCCTTATCCCCTTTTCCCTCTTAAAATTGATTTTTGTAGAGAAAACTCTAGAGAATCAGAAGCAGGTCCAAGGACTGTATCTTGTACTAATATGAGAGAGATGCAAAATTTTTAGCCTTTCCAAATCCACTAAAAGCATGAAAAGCTTTCCCCTGAACATTAATATCCATGCATGTTATTAGATTATCTTTGATGACTTGCAGGAAGATTGTCTTTCTAAATTTGTATAAATTTAATTAACAAGAATATGAATTTTGAGGTAACAAATACAATTATCATATTGTATGTGCACCAAAAGATAACAATTGACTAGCAAATGTATATAGTAAAAAGGGAACCGATTTCATGAATATTAGACTACTACTACAGCCTTAATTGTGCAATGTTAATCTTGTGAACAAAAATATATCAACAAGGGGACTTTATAATACCAAAGTTCTTAACCAAGGTTGATAATAATAAGCAAAAATAAACAAAATAATGGTTTATTCTAAATTGACTGGGCTATTATATCATGCGTATTGCAGATATCAATGGATATCTGGGCAATTTGGTGTATGTCAAAGTATTTAAAGTCTCGAAGAATTAATGCCATTACATCTTCAAGCTGTGAGTAAAGATGAAAAAATAAATAGGTTAGCAAAATCATGATAGCAGCAGTTAAAGTTACACCGTCATAGTGATCAGTAAGTAAAACCGCTAGCCCACTGTTCACACTAACCTTGACAAAATGAACAACCCTGGACAAAAAGTCTCTCCTTTGATTGTCAAACCCAAACTCTGGCCCATCTAACAGGCTTCTTTTCAGATGTCTTTTGGTCTTTTTCTCAAAGTTCCATCCCACCATCAACTCGTCATATAACGACGATCTAACCGTTGAAAACAACTTCACCTTTTCTGTATCACTGACAGTACGATATGTCAATCCACGACAACTGCTCACCAACGATCCAAAGGACATTTCGAGATAACGTTCTATTTGAAAATCTAGGACAAACGGTGACGCTTTCTCTTTCGGGTACGAGGAACTCGCTGAACAGGCCAGTTGGAGAACGTCAGATGAGTCTGTGTAAAGACGAATCGTGTGAAGAGGTAAGCAGCCATTAGGATTATTCCATCGCTTGTGGTCGAGATGCAGTGGAGATAGATCGTCAGCGTCCGAATCTGCTTGAAGATCAACGGGCGTGCGAGGAGCAGACTGGGATTCAGAGGACTGAATTGAGGGAGAGAGCATAACCGGAGATTGTATGCCTGGGGATCGCATACCTATTGACTGTACAGCGAGCGTCGGAGAAACTGGCGATCGTAATTCCGGGTACGACATGCTCTTATTATTCATTGTATTCGATGGTAATGACATATCGGGAAACTGCATCCCAGCTAAAGGTGTTACTGGCGACGGAGTCATTGGTGATGGAGGTATCGGCGATGGAGTAACAGTCGGTGACAATTCCGGTGAATCCGTGTTATCTTCTTCATCATCATTATCGTCAGAGTCTATATCCATACAACCATCTTCATCTCCTCTAATCGCTCGTCTTAACGTGTTTTTAATTTCTGCTGTTTTAGCCACTTCCAACGCTGTTTTGTGTTCCGCATTTTTCGATTTTGGATTCGCAGACTCCAAGAGTAGCTCTACAATCTTTTTGTGCCCTTTTCTCGCTGCCTCGTGCAATGCAGTGTTATGCTTATGTTTTTCTTTAATGTCAGGGTCAGCTCCGTATGCCAACAGAATACTGACAACCTCGAGATGTCCTTCACAAGCAGCGTCGTGTAATGCTGTGCGTCCGTTGAGATCTTGCGCATTCACATGCGCTCCCTCTTCCAGTAAATGACCTACATTTTGTGTTTTATTGCGCTTAGCCATATGATGAAGTTGCGTTCTGCCTGTTGTCTTATCTACAGCTCGCGGATCTATGCGGAGTACTTCGTTGTTAAATGCGAGAGATCTAGTAGTGTTCCGAGCACTCAATCTTCGGGGTGCCGTAACGGTACTTATTTCTTCTCTTTGTATTCTAGGTCTGCCTCGTCTGCTTACGGTCTCTGACCTTGACGGTAGTGTTCGATATTTAGATCTTTCTATTACCACGGTCGGTTCTATTAACACGCGCCCTAACTTTTTTGGTTTTTTTTCCGTCTGTATGGGAGTGTTCAGTAGTTTTATAATTTGTTCTTTTTGTTCGTCCGATTCTACGGAAGATCTAGTTATAACATCCTCGGGTCTCTCATTCTTGTCATTTGTTTTTTCTACATCAGCTCCGTATTCTAAAAGTATTTTAATAATGTCCACATGTCCTTGATAGCATGCATCGTGCAATGGAGTATCACCTTCTTTATCGACTACATTTACTTTTGCTCCATGTTCTAATAATAGCACAACAATTTCATAATATCCTCCATATGCAGCTTCGTGTAAAGGTGTCCACTCTGAATTGTCTGTTGCGTTTATGTTCGCACCCTTTTCAATCAGTGTTCGTACTTTGTTGATGTTATTTCGCATGCAAGCTATATGTAAATTAGTTTGACCGGCGTTGTCAGTTGCTTTTGCATCATTTGGATCCAGTTTCCGTCGTCCCAAGCGTGGTTTTGTCTTTTGGGTTATTTGCGAACTGTTTGTCTTGCGGTGCGTTTTCCTAGGTCTGCCTCTTTTACTGCCAATGTTCTGAATGATGGGTTCACTGTCGCTCGAGTCCTCTTTTGAAGAGTTACTATCAACTGAAGATAATTCTGAAGATTCCTCAAAACTAGAGTCAGTGTCAGATCTTATTCTCTTTACTTTCCTGTCTGTTGAAGAGTCTTCAGAGTCTCCTCTTATTGTTTCGGCGTCTGACTGTTGTTTTTCTAATTTTCGTAGTCTTCTGTTCTTCATAATTTGTTTTCTTGTAAGGTTTATTTACGACAAAAGGTAAGGCATGCACGATGTATAGGAACGAGTATTCGAGATGAGTGGAATTGTGAGAGATGGAGGACGGGAATGCGTTGAAAAGTGATAATAAGTTAGGATCGAGTCCGTTGCTCACAAACACTATTTTAAATACGGGATGAAACTACGATAGTATTATAACCAATACCACAATAACTGAATAAAAGCAGTTATATAGCGAAGTATTACCGGGGAAAACTCTTTTCTATGGCGGGCGGGTAGATAGTCAAATAAACAAAGAAGGAAGGAAGGCGAATATTAGGGGAGGTTGGGTTGTCGGTTATTTTTTAGTGGAGATAGGTCATATGACATAAGTGAAACCAGACGGTGTAACATCCCCTCCTCATCAGCGTTTGCATTTGTGCTACATAGAGTTGGGGTAATTATAATCGGAAAAGAAAGAGGAGAATATTAATACTAATAAAATCGGTCAGGGCTCTCGACGGGTTGTTACAAGAACTCCATCAAGAACAATTTTTTTTGCAAGATTTTTTTTACGGATAATAGTTCATTTTTGTAAGCGTTGTACGCCATCTTTGCATCAATAGTGATGGATGATTGATAGTGCAGGATGATTAGCCTGTATCTGCACAACAACCCAGCCAAAAAGTACATCAGCATACATGAAAAAATAGGTGAATAGTTATTATGGAAAGTAAAAAGCAGGGGGGAAACTCAATAAGCAATTAGCTCAGGGTCCAGTCAGACCAGGGTAACCAGCTCGAAACTTGTTACTATTTTTGGCACTAGTTCAACACTTAAAAAGTTCATAAATAATCATGCATGTAATGAATTCTGTTTAAGAGCAACAAGGAATTATGACACATTGAATTTACATTAAACAATCATTTTACTTTCTCATTTCATACCAAGATTACAGAAAGATTATGATATTTACTCATTTATTAGGATGAACTATATATTTACTCTATCAATGTTCAAAACTTTTTATGTAAATTTTATTTGACTATATACCACGGTTTAGTAACTATAAATAGCTGATGATCGTAATATTAATAATCTTTTGAATACAAGTATCTAATGAGAATGAACCGATATGTATATCGAAAAAGAAGGAAAAAACGATTTGACAAGTAATAAAGCATTGCCGGAATTAATTTTTATATCACATTTCATAACTACCCACACCGTATCCCACACCGTATCCCCACACCGTATCCCACACCATATCCCATACCCTAAATACCCACTTAAAGACAATAGTCCCAGTTCAACCGATAACTCAATCTGCTAATAATACGTATATATACTTTTAAAAATCATCGTGATAATTACTATATCCGTTGACGTATCCATTATATCCATTGTTGTACCCATTGCCGTATCCATTGCTATATCCAGTCCTCATTGGTCCTCCCCCATTCGACATTCCACGTGTTCTTGCTGGTTGTTGATTATTGTACATGCCCCGTCCAGACGGTGCTGCCCTCTCATTCCCATACGCCCCTCTAGTATATTGGCCACCCCTTCCTCCTGCACCCTGTTGTCCGTCTCCATACCTCATCGGAGATGTTGATCTAATTTTCGAATCAAGATTACTTAAGAAGGGCCCAGTACTTTGTGTACTAATAGGTGTTCGTTTATTTGCTTCGTATCGATAGCCTGCCATTTCTATAAGGGGTAATTTCTGAGATGAAAGTGATGGATCGACAGCCGGCTGTTCGACAACTGGTGGGGCAGGAGGAATTGGTGCATTTCCATAACGAGCCCGTGCATCGTATTGAACATCGTCTCTTTGTGGCGGTGGTGGTGCGTAATAATTAGGAGGGTGACGCGGCGGAACATCGTATGGAAGAGTTTCGTCTCGGTAAGGAACTGGTGCGAATCGATTGGCAGAATCTTCACGGAAGCCTCCGTATCTCGAATTAGAATGCGGAGGCGGGGGAGGGGGAGGGGGGGATGAATAGCGATGATCGTATGCCGGTGCGTATTTTGATGGCAACTGTAGATTACCAGGCTGAACTGGCGCACCATTTCCACGCACATCATAATCATCGGATCGTAGCGAACCCGGTGGATTCGGATAATAACCACCTCTTCCCGGCATTGCACCGTTACCATTTACCGCCTTGCTCAATGGTTGTTCATCATCACTATCGCTTTCTTCCTCTTCCTCATCGCTTGAAGAATCCGAGTCTAAAATCCTCCTAGGCGGTTTTTTCTCTTGCTTTGGTTGAGCAACTGAACCTGATGATTGCATTTTCGTAGCAAGTGGAGCATGGTCACTGTCTTCAGAGGAATATGAATTGCGATTTGGATTTGAAACATTAGGCACTTCACGAGTACGATGAAGCAAGTCGTCGGGTTGAGGAGAATGTTTTGAGATTTGGGGAGGTGGTTTTGTATCATATGGTTTTGAATCATACCCTCCCCGTCCTTCATAACCTCCCCGTCCTTCATACCCTCCCCGACCTTCATAACCTCCCCGACCTTCGTATCCTCCTCGACCTTCGTATCCTCCTCGACCTTCATACCCTCCTCGATTTTCGTACCCTCCCCGACCTTCGTATCCTCCTCGACCTTCATAACCCCCTCGATTTTCATACCCTCCCCGACCTTCATACCCTCCCCGACCTTCGTATCCTCCCCGACCTTCATATCCACCTCGACCTTCATATCCTCCTCTATTGTCATAGACCCCACGATTATCAGGTCCTCCTCTGTTGTCATAACCCCCACGATTATCAGATCCTCCCCTGCTGTCATAGCCACCACGATTATCAGATCCTCCCCTGCTGTCATAACTCATTCTATTTTCATAGTTTCCTCGAGCTTCATTTACACCACGACCATTACTTGAGTGCGAAGAAGCGGATGATGCTTTTGATGATATCACGTTTCCATTTTCTCCCTTCTTGCTTTTGTCCCTATCCTCGTTTCTCTGAAGATCTCCCTTCGACGAAACCGAAGATTGAGGCGAGTGACGATCTCTTTTTATTCTTTCTTCAACACCCTTATCTTTTGCTTTATCTAGCCTTTCATCGCTTTTTCTATTATTGGATAAGACGTTTTGTGATATGTGATGTTTCAATTTTTGGTCTCTTGACTTGTAAAGCATTGGCGGTGGATCCGAAGTAGTCGATGAGTTTGAAGAAGTACTATTTGAAGGCACTCTTCTTTCGTCATCAAACCTTCTTCCCGTTTCACTACGGGTTGGTGATTCAGCTGAACGATTGTGCTGGTCAGGATAGCGAGATCTGGGCACGGGGGGACCACCGTTGTGTGGACGATGCCGCGAATAGTCCTCACGAGGATCGTCCATGTTGCGAGGTATGCGCTGCGGTGGATAGCGGGGATCGTCCCTGAAGTCTTCAGGGTATGGTTGACGAGGATCTCTCGGGTACCTTTCATCTCTCCTGTCTTCCGGATATGGAGGATATCCACGCGGAACTGCTTGGGGAGGAGGAATGCGGTGGTCGTCCCGGACGGGAGCGTCGTAAATTCTGTTGTCGTACGGAGGATAACGCGGATCATAATAGTCACCATTGTCCATTGGATAATATGGATCGTCAGCAAATGGATGTTGCGGAGGGCCGGGGGGTAAGTTTGCAGACGAGTTGTTTGGTATATTGATCAAAGCACGCGTTTCAACTCTGTGTCTATCTTTCATTCTATCCAATACATTGTTCTCGCCATCTTTTGGATCTACTTCTTCGACCCAGTTGGCTACTGCGCTAATTTTTTCGTGAGCAGCTTTTCTACGTTGAACGGCCGGATCGACAGGCGGCTTTCGATTAGGACGACGCGTTGATGAGGAACCACCATCCGAGGATGAATCATCGTCGCTATCGAGTTGTTTCTTGCCTCGGTTTTTTGACTTTTTTGAGCGATTTTTTGAAGATGTACTGGATACACTCGAGTCGTCGCTGTCTGGTGGTCGGTGAACTGCGGCGGGTTTGGATTGAGTTGTGAGAGTAGTATTGCTATTTGTGAGTGTCGTATTGTTGTTTTTGAAAGTGGTAGATGTAGTGGTTGTAGTGGTTGCGCCTGGGGGTGGTAGATTGAATCTGCTGTATAAATCATCGAGTAAAGAAGTTGATGTGGACTTGGTATCGAGAGATGACAGAAAGGAGGTAGATGTGGTAGAGTTTAAAAATGATGAATTAGTTGTGGTAGCATTCCTTGTTGCTGCTGTTGATGTTGTAGTTTTTGTCGTTGCTGGTTGTGATGACGCCGAAGTGTTGTATGAGAAATCTAGGCGACGGGAGAATTCGAGAGCGAGACCAATGTCATCGTCTGGTAATAAGGTGAGTGAACGGGTGTGATTAGTAATGCACAAATAGTAATGGGATATGTTTTAATTAAAAAATGCGCAGTAGTTAAGAGAGTTAATGGGAGGGATCCATTAAATTACCGTAGGTTTTATCACCAGTATTCGGAGAAGCAGATCCGGAATTGAGTTGAGTGAATATCTCGTCCAGCAAGTTTGTCTGTTTCTCTGGGCGTGGCTCGGGAGTAATGGGCGAAAGGGAATCTGAGGTTATAGCGGGTAAGGAACCGATAGATAGTTTTGGTGGCTCAAGGGAAGTAGGAGAAGAGAGCTCGCCGTCGGTAGGTTTTTTCTTTCCGAAGAAGTTAAGTTTACCCATGGCAATGCAAAACCGATAATGAAGTAATTATTGAAAAAGATAAATAACGACAAGTAATGGAGAGAGATAAAGTTAAGAATAATAGCCAAAGTTTTGACAGGGAAGAGAAAAAGAAATAATGGAAACGTTATATATGTGTTCGTTGTGTGTTTGGGGGGGGGGGGGAGTGTGGTACTCATAAAAAACGATAACGCATAGTAATGGTTTGAATATGCGACATAAAATCTATCAAAAAGAAACTGAAACAGTCTAATCTCAACTGGGTTGGTAAAAAAGTGACCAAACGTCGTCCCCCTAACCGAAAATGAAAAAAAAAAGTCTGAGGACTGTCAAAAATTGTATACGGGAATGTTGTTGTATATATATATGTATAGGTGTATATGTATTGTATATGTATTGTATATGATGTGATGAATATATAATACCAGTTCCGTATATGTATGTATATAATTGTAAGTGTATGTGTTTCCCTCTCTTCCCTATTTCTTTTTTTGAAACGAACAAGCTTTAGCAGTTACTCTTTTTGTGTTTTGCCTAGCACTAAAGCAGGTGTTGCGGTTAACTTTTATGTACAATGCTATTCCCAAAAAGATAAGAAATCTTCAACTTTTCTCCGTCTCCAGAATTTTGATGGAAAAGCGGAAAGAGGACGAGTGATATTTATGGTGAGAATTGACTGGGTCGATATGCAGGTATTAATTTGAATATCATGCAAGGTAATAATAATTCTTGTGTGTATCATGTGCAAGTCCCTTATCCTATATCTATTAATTAAGCCAGTGAACATCAGATGTTAGTTATTCTATTCGTCAATATTTTCCCACTTTTAAATTTTATTTTTTTTCCTCTTTTTTTTTTTTTTTTTGAAATTCCCTTTTGTGTGTTCCTTATTAGAGTTGGTGACGTTTGTATGCAACAAGGCAAGTTTCACTTGGGGAAAATGATGCTTTATGATACCGTTTTAAAGTTGTAACAGCCAATGGTCAAGTTGTATTCTAATTTAATTAGGCAACATATGTTTACATAATATTTATCATTATCAATATCAATCGTTGTTTTAATGTGTATGTATGTATGTATATGTCGTATGAATATGTATATGTTGTATGTATATGTATATGTATACGTTGTATGTTATATATAATATGTATAATATGCTGTATGTTGTGTGTTTGTTGTGTGCAAGTACAGTTCGTACATAGTATTGTGTGTTTGTTATACGGTATAGCCGGACCCGTAAATCGTTCATAATATGCCATTTCATTTCATCTTTGTAACCGATCTCCCAGTTACACTATAAATAAATAGTTCAACCTGCTATGCAATAAGATCTATTAATAATCTGCTTGATGCAATTTCATGCTTGGGTCCGTTGCTCGCATTCGCACAAGGAGCAAAAAAAAATGTTGATATGGTATAAGGCAACCATAAAAAACGATAAACATGTTTGTGGTTTGTCGATAAGATCTTTGACGCCCACCAGCTGCCATATTCAGATATCGCCAATTTGATTCTTATTGTTGTGCTTCGTTCTTGTATTTGTTTGTTGTGTAGCAATAATAATGGACCATTTAAATCGGTGTGAACAATGAAGCAACATCACTGTGTTATCCTATTTATTTATTACCAAAATTATGTTTACCTATTATAAGCCTGGTATTTTATTATTATAATGCTTGGTATTTGTTTTTATATATACTATTCATCGGGCATATCACACATTATTGTGTTACTGGTCTGCCGAGAAGTTTCTGTTGCAAAAGCCTATTTCGAATTGTATCTCCCCTATTACGGGACCCCGACCAGCAGATTATTTAACCATCAAAAAGAGTGTTTTTAGTTAGAATATGGCTTATGCTTATCGTTATCTTCGCTCTACCAAAAAAAAAAAAAACCCTGCAAAGCAAGAGTCTTAATTCTTTGTACAACTCTTTAATAAAAACTGTATATACCATACGCATATACTGTACATGTACCAAACCGCATATACTGTACATATACCATACAACATATACTGTATATATACCATACCGCATATACTGAATATACTGCAACGTTTATACTGGGAATGACAGTTTTACGTGCATCACCACGAATAAACAGCAGCTCCGTTCTCTAGGGCGTCCTCAATTATCAGTTAATATTCGGTTCGGACTGTCTTATCTCACCCATATCTCTTATAACACAACGTGGTGGCTTATCTCATCTCATCTCAACCGCCGTCTAAAAATAAATAAATTCCCAGCAACGCTGATCACGCGTGACCCTTCTGCATTAATGGTTCTTAATAACAATTTAATCAACCAAATAATATATGCTTGTTACACCCGTCGAATAACTATGTGGGAGTGCATTATAATTACATTCGATTGAACTAGAGCGGTTTTAACCAACTCTTGGCATTAGTCAAACATAAACATTTAAAAGAGAAGGTTACCATAAAGTAGTGTTTATAAAATACTTCACAAACCCTACTGCTATGTTATAGGGATGATGAAAAACATCAACTGGATAGTCCTAATGGTTGTCTAATGGTCACACCCCCCCCCCCCCTTGAACTTAAACTGTCACACGCTAGAACCACATTATATTATAAATCTTGGCTGTTTGTGAAGACTCGGATAATTTAAGTATTTATTTGTTTTTGGTCTTGCTCATTAGTTAAATATTGTAAAGCTCGACACTTATTTCTATTTGCTTTGCAATATGCAATCTCACTTGTACTACGTTTCATAGTAGTAATTCATCGATGTGATGAAAAAGATGACTTGCTATCTGAGAGTTGACATTATTGGTCAGCTATGAACAACCCAGACAGCCAATTTATTATCATACTTATGAGAGTGTGTTCAACCAGCATTGAAATACCTAAATTGTCTACAATACTAATCGTGCCGACGTTGTAAACGCCTTGAAGATTTAGATGTTGGAGATCGGTGTGCTAAATTTAGAATAGTTGCTATTCATATAAATATGCTGTTTATTATCACTAACCACGTTTATCATGTTAAAATGTGCTTAGATAACCAATCAAATAATACTCTCCATTTCCCACCAGCGTATAATGTTACGTCATGGTGATTTATCGAGTTTTACTAATGACGTAATATTCACACTACACACACAAGTTAGATCCAACTCTTAAATAGTGAAATCGATTATTTAACGCTGATTACATAAATGAGGTCTTCACGACGACTGGTAAGGCATAAACTTTGTTGATGAAGATATGTGCTCAACTTTTTGGCGTATTTGTGTGGATGTTAAATTAACCGCGAGATTGGATCACGTTTCTACACTAATTAATATTAAGAAAGAATTTAATAAACGCACTTTGGAGTAGTAATGATTAATAATCGGGACCAGAAGCGATAACTCCTTTCCGATATAACGGCTAGTGATATATCGAATAGTCACGGAATTATAACGTTATTTTTAAGTACGATTTTTCGTGTGCGTAGTCGGCAGCGAGTATTAGAGATGTCTGAATTTTGACGTCGTTATTTAAGATGGTTAATTGAGATAAACAATACGCCTCTTTGCCAAAATGCAAAAATGCAATAATACCGCGCGTCCGTGGTAATATCAAGAAAAAACCAAAATGGGCCGCACCAGTAAAGAGACTAACCGTAAAAATTGGAGACTTTTGTTGTTCTTTAACTAAAAGAAAAAGATTTAAAAATTAGTATATCATTTATACAAACTGATTATAAATAAATTCACCCAAGTAGGAAAGATCTGACATCCTACTTTTTGTCAACGCATTAGCGTTAGTTAACAGACTCTGTAAATATTTAATTAAAAAATCTATTTTTTTTATTTATATTCATCAATTCCTGTTTTGATTATGTTGTATGTCAGATCGGAATTTATATCAGATCAGAATTTTATGTCGCTTCCAAACTGACATACGACAATATATTGTTCAATAAAACATTGTCATATTTATTACTAATTTTCTATTTTCTCATCTGACACATGTCAAATTTGGAAACGACATAAAATTCTGATCTGACATATATCACTTCGGAATTGACATAAATGCCGATCTGACAACAATTATGATAATTTATGAGTATTTTGCTGACAAAGACACAATGAGCCAAATTGTTCAATGATCAATATTTATATTTCAAGTACTGGTTTAGACTATAAGTTAATTGTTACTCTGATAAATCAATGACCGACTTAAAAAGAATTTCACAGATACTCTTAGATTCATTATAGATACAGTAGAAGACATAACATTAAGATTTAGTTGTTGTTTTTTCATTGTTTTTCTACACATTATTGGCATTGGTACACTATTTTATATACAATCATACCCAAATTTATATTCACACTTGAATATATCTGAGGTGGGACATAGCTAAGGTGTTGGCATAGCATTCACCGATAATACTGTGCAATTTATTGATTAACAAGTTTCATTAATAATGTCTGGCATTTTGACCACTGCTTTATCTAAGCACCCAATTACATTGTCTCATACCATCTTATGTTGTAAATTCTCTTTGTTCTAAAAGCTTTCTGGCTGTCACAAGTGTTTTTCTGCTCACCTTTACAGAAATGCTTGCTTTTTCTCCCTCACTTGAATCTACTGTGTCTACTTGTGTCGGTTGTAATAGTAAGACGCCTGATTTTATTTCATTGTTTAACCAAATGAGGCTAATAATTGACTTATCCTGGCACAAACATATTAATATGTAAAAATGGCATAATATTTTGCGTAATACATAATATTATTTAGGAGATATAAAGGAGGTTAGTTAACTACAAAATTGGTCAGGGATAGGGATACATTTGAGTAGGATACAATTGAGAAATATTTATCGAGGATATATTAATATCTTTACTCCCATTGGTTGTACATACAAGTGTCTAGTCTTTGAGATAAAGAAGTAAATTATCTTTTTAACAAGAACTGTTATTCAATCCTAATTACATTACTGCATTGTTGAATTGATTTTTGATAACTGTTCCAAGTCAAAATTTGGTCA